CCCAAGATAAGGAGATGTGTGCTCACAAATCGCGCTTCTAATTTTGGACTCCGGCTTCTACAAAGTCTACCAGAATACTGGTCTTGCTGTTCTGCATGTAATAGAGCCGCTATTTTGGCTTCCGACTCTTGGGTAAGTCACTTACCAACAAGCTGGCAACAAAGGCAAGGAGCTAACATGTTAACTACCTGCGAATGGGCGGGAAGAACGGAGCAAAGGTTGTTGTATTGCTACGAAGCGTTTTGGAATCCAGAGAGTAAGTTGGATCTGCTTTCTGATGCCCTGCTTCTTGGCAATAAGTGGATGGAAGCAAAAGGTCTTCTTCCTAGGGAAATTTGCTTGCAGATGTAGGCAGCTAATACATCTGCAAGCAAATTTCCCTAGGAAGACTCGACCGACTAGGCGAAGCCCTGACAGCGGCGCAATCAAATCTCCAAATTCAGCTTCATCATCTACAAATAGTTAAAGATGAGCTAGGAGGGCAAATTTAGCAATTTTTGAATGATCGAAACTTCAGAAACAAATTGACTTTGTTCCAACCTTTGGCATTAATTTTCCGAATAAGATGTTAACAAGCCGTGCACTAAGTTTAAATATTACTAGTAATAATGACCCGATAATGATATTTTGTGGACCATGTATTTTTCAAAAACTACATTTGCCTTAATTAATAAAAAAAATCATTAATTAATGCCAGAGGTCCTTTCAGGACAAGTACACTGTAGGAACCAGGATTTTGCACGACAAATAGTCGTGAGTCATGAGATTGTTGGTCAGTTTGGTGTCGCTGTCAGCCAAAATCGGTTGCTTTGATCACGGGCAATACATGTACCCCGGCGGTGGGTAATTTGGAGCTTATGGATCGGCGACGGTGGCCGCAACTTTGCTACGGTGCAGCTTGCAAAGCAAAAAGCGGAACGAGAGGAGAATTCTTACTTCAAGTAAAAAGATCGATACTATTGAAACATCTGCAGACTCTGCATATTTGTTGTCATCGTAGAATAAGGACAATCATCAGGTATTTTCGTATACCGGTATGGCGAGCGTGGCTGCAACTCTGTTACCGTGGTTTCTCAGTCAGGACACCTTGTACTCTTGTGAACTACTGTACGTATCTCGTCCTATCTTGATCCCTCATTCGTAGGGCCACCGCCTACGTCGTTCGTACACTGGCACGTGAA